AAGCCAAAGGAAATAAAACCAGAAATTAAGCCAAAGGAGATAAAACCAGAAATTAAGCCAAAGGAAATAAATTAGCCCAAAGCCCAGAAATTAAGCCAAAGGAAATAAAGCCGGAAATTAAAGCAGTGGAGATTAAACCAGAAATTAAAGAGATTACAGAACATGCAGCAATTGAATCCCTGGAGATCAAACCAGAAATTAAGCCAGAGGAGATAAAACCACCAACTGATTCAATTGAGATAAAACCAGAAATTGAACCAAAGGAAATAAAACCGGAACTTAAAGCAGTGGATATAAAACCAGAAATTAAAGAGATTGCAGAACATGCAGCAATTGAATCCCTGGAGATAAAACCAGAAATTAAAGTAGTGGAGGTAAAACCAGCAATTGAATCAGTACAAATAAAACCAGATATAATATCAGTGGAAGTGAAACCAGCAATTGAATCAGTAGAAATAAAACCAGAAATTGAATCAGTGGAAATCAAACATAAAATGGAAGTAGAGATAAGACCCGAAAGTGAATCAGTGGAGATCAAGCCAGAAATAAATATAAAAGCAGAGATTAAATCAGAGGAAACAAAAGCAGAGCATTTGTTAACAGCAATAACACAAGAAGAGATGAAAACAGATGAGTTAAAACCAACAGATAAACAAGAGGAGGTTAAGCAAGAAGGCAAATTAGAAGAGTTCGAGCCAGAAGATGTACTGGAAACTGTGAGAGCAGAAAATAAGTTACCAGAAATAAAGCCAAAGGAAGTAGGACTTGAAGACAAAACAGACGAGATAAAACTTACAAAACTAACAGCCGAGAATATCCTTGAGGAAATGAAACTGGAGAATGAAGTGGAGCTAGAGGAGACAAAGCCAGAGGCAAAAGGTGTAGAACTGAGACTGGAGGGGGTGTCGGCCACAATACTAGACGTAGGACAGCAGAGACAGGATACAACAGTTGGGGCTGCTTGGGAGGAAACACCACACAAAGAAATGGCACAGGAAGGTGTGCGAGAAGGCGAGATAAGTAAAGGTGTACTGGAAAATATAGTGCAAGGTGAACAATTGGAAAAGACAATAATCGATCAGAAAGAGGAAGGGGAACCAGTGGAACTAGAGGTAACCGAAGGGATATTTAAGTGGACGAAATTTGCCTTTACGGAGGAGGAAGTAAAGCCAGAAGAGATTGTAGAACATGCAGCATCCCTACCTCTCTCGCCGCACTTGCCAGCCGATGAAGTAGCAGAGGGCGCTATCCCAGTTCAGGCTGAGAATCCACCACCCAGCTCTTTGTATTCCCCCAGTTACGCATTCTCATACGGGATTCCTCTGGAGGTTCTCTTGGCTGGGAAGAATCTAACAGCTGCTGAAATCATAGCAAGGATTCCTTTTCCAAGTGACGTCAGCTTTATGAAAGGCCCCGAAGAGATAGATAAATTCAGTGCTCAACATAATGTCACACCACAGAGGTCACCAATAGAAACTACTTTTCCAGATTTCCCATCACTTGTACCTGTCAGTGAAACTTCGCTGACGGTGAAGATGTCCCCTGATTCTTCACCATCATTATCTCCATCACCATCTCCAAGAACTTCCCCCATTAGTGCATCACCACACAGATCTCTTACAAACACTCCTAGTATATCTCCGAACACCACGCAAGAGACTAAAGCTAGCGTAAATTGGTCACAGACAGAACTGCCTTCTACACCCCCAGAATCTAGAATGGGATCGCCACTCATCCCACCCAAGTCCCCTAAAATTACAGTTGAGGATGAAAAGAAAAATGTTTTTGAAATCCATTCTGGTGTTCCGGGATTTTCAACATTTGTATTTCATCCCTTAGAGGAGACTGGAGAAAAATCCCTTTCTAACATATGTCCAGAAGCTGAATTAGACTCTGAAGCAAAAGTTTTGCCTGGAGAAACAGTACAAAAGTCAAAAGATCCAAACATTACAGGCCAAAATATAAGTGACTCTCCCATTCTCCATGATACTCCTTTTGTAGACACTCTAGGGTTTAGCCAAAGAAGCACTGAGAGCAATACAACATCAGATGCAGAAATACCAACATGTCACATAGCAAAACAGTTCAATATTGATTTTGATATACAAGAAGGTAATGAAATCAAGGACGAGTCATTTTCGGATATAAGTGTTAAACACAATATCAAAGACCTTTACACCATAGGGGATGAAGATACGCAAGAGGTTTCAGAGGAAAATGACACTGATGTGCCGCCAAAACTACTAACATTCAGAAAAAATATATCAAGGTCAAGACTCACCACCATGTTGACAGATAATGCTGAAAAGGAACCGTCTGACACAGATTCACAGGTTTATGAAGCAGGTGCGTTGACTGTTGACAGCTTTAAGACAGATACTTCCCATGATGCAAGCTACTTGCCACCATCATCAAGCTTAGAGACTAAAAGTCAGTATCCCACTGCTGAAGTTTCAGATATCACCCAGCCTAAAGTGGCAAGTGCAAACAATGACTCCTTTAATATAAAACTAGGGGACATTGAAATGTGTTTGAAGACTGAACAACTCGACCAAGCAAAAGCTGCAACTTCAGAGGTAGATGTATTAAAGTCGACAAGCCCAGTTTGTAGTAGTGAAAAACCTTTGTCACCTATACCTTTGGCCACCCATTTGGTATCTAAAACAGAAATACAAGTCTCAGGGACTCTTGCCGAAGTGCCCAAGACAACCATACAAACAGATGACGATAGGCCAGTGCTGTTACATTCACAAATCAAAAGTTCTTCGTTGTCTGTTGGAGCTATGGATGTTTCTGAATCTGCTGACAATCAAGAATTAGAACATAAATCTAGTTTTACTGAGTTTAAAGATTCATATCTTTCTTCTCAAGCAAGCAGCTCCAGAGAATCTGATGTAGCTCCTCTTGATAACAGTATTTCTTCCGCGGCAACACCACTCGAGAGTAAAATACTTGCAGAAGTAACCAGAGAGGACAGAGAAATTGTACATACACAGAGTCAGGCAGAGACAAATGCAGATGTCACAGCCAGGCTTTCAACAATTGTCCCTTCTAAAATATCATTGGAGGAGAGAATTTCAGCTTTGCTTCCACCTGAAACACTTGCAACATGGACTGCTAAGTATGAAAGTGATAAAGTGGCATCACTTAGTGAAGAACCAGGTGGAATATCAAACGAAGAGAAATCTTTTGAAACAAATTTGCCTTTAGTAGATGAATCTCAAGATGAAGCAAAGACCGTAATCATAGAAATGCAAGGAGGTGCATCCCATTCAGAATCATATAATAAAGAAAATGAGCCAGTGCACACAGAAAATAGACAAACATCCAAACAATCATCTGTAGAGACAGCTGAAAAAGCGGATCAAACTTTGAAAAAATTGTTCGAAGACTCAAAGTTGTTGCTTAAAGAAAATAATGGAAACATAACACAAGAAAAGGTCAGAGAAGAAATACAGTGTTCACCTACAGAGCCTATTTCAAAAGACAAAAAACTACCTCTTCCATCAGAATACGAAGATTCGGATAAGTTGCCTACGTACAAAGAAGGGATTCAAACGACGGCCGGAAAGGGCTATGAGGAAAGTGCCTTGTTACCAATGGAGGATAAACTGGATACACAGCTTGGAAATATCCTATGTAGTACACCTAAAGTCTGTTCATCGTTTGTAGAAAGATCAGATGATATAGTGGAGTTTGCAGTTGATAAATTATCCCAAGAAACAGAAATAGGGACCAGCAAAAGACCTCAAGAAGGGACACAACCAGTTTCAAAATTACCTTGTGATGTCAAGCCAGACCAATCAGAGATAAAGCCAAGAGAGTCTACAGATGAGCTGGCATCCTCCCAGATGGCTGCAGGTGAGAGCATTAGTTGTTTAGGAGACGTGGATGAAGCAAGTCAGGGTCCTTCCAGGCGACAGCGAGGAGAATCGTCCCTGACTGCATCGTTGGAGGGCAGGATTTCGGCATTTCCATTCAGTATTGATTCTGAAGAAAATGTTTTATCTTTCGAGGAGACTGGTGAAGACGATGCTGTGTTTGAAAGCGGTGGGCCAGAGATGGAAACTGATTTCTTTAGTGAAAAAGATCTAAGCTCGGAAGCTATTCGCCAGAGGCTTTGGAGGGGTGTCAAATCCCTGAGTTTAGATGCTGATATCACCCTTGATCCTGATATTTTCTGCTTTTTAATACAGCAGAGTTCAAAATCTAGTCATAAAGAAGGCAAAAGAAAAGGTTTGCAAAAACGAAGAAATAGTGAAGTAGAATTGCAAGAGTTAGTAAAAGAAAATACTGAAATAATTGAGAGAATTATGAAGCAAAAGTCAGTTGAAGACGCAGGAGCACTGATATACAGCATCAAAGAGACAGATACACCAGCCAATACACCCATAGAGGAGCATGAGGAAGCAGCTCAGTCTGTGAAAAGTAACTCCAACAGAGAACACGAGAGTACCGCGAAATCCTCAAGCAGCAGCACTGAGCCACACGAACTACCCTTGGCAAACTCAAGTGGCAGTGAGCTAAGCGAAGCATTGAGTCTAGAAAAAGAAACCAGGTCTCAACACCCCAAGGAAATGCCATCAGGTCATGCGTCTCCACCTGATCAGAAGATGAGCAGTCAAGGCTCTGATATGGACCAAGCAGCAAAGAGTATCAGTACTATGAAATCATCTTCCAAAACTACCAAACTCTCACGATCTTCCAGTGTTTCACTTGAAGGTCCAATGAGACCCATCACCTTCAATCCATTCCCAACGAGGAATGTTCCCCGGCAGCCAAAGGAAGTTGCAGTAAAATTAGGTCTCTATAGCCCTACCAAAACATCCAGTAGTTCTCCAACTTAGGGGTCAACTTCAAAACTAAGATTATAGGTGGCCTTGTATATGCATCATAAAACGTGAATGTTAGAGACCTTTTCGAATATATAATGAAATATTTATATTGTATAGTTTAGATAAATGTTCACACAAGTAGATTTTCGCACTAGTGCTGTGTCATTAGTTCACCGTTACTGAAAATGTTCATATTAACTATAGTATCATCATTCATGTTATTTCATTACTGTATATAATTTTTATTTGCAGAACTCAAGGTATGAGAAAAGGGCATCTGGTCGAGTGTGTATGACCCATTGACTGTGTTAGTGTGTTCATTTTTGTTTATTGTTAACATGTTAAGTCTGATTACTTATCTAATGATATGATGAGTTGTTAGAAAAAATGCAAAGCCGACAGCCAGTGTCTTTATATCTAATATGCATTGACGAGAGAGTGAGTAATTATGAAACAATATAAGTATAAGGGGAACAGGTATTTACATTATTGTAGAATCAAAAAGTTACCTCAGATTTTCACATTTATCAAACTTAGTCTTCAGGCTATGCTTCTTCTCTTGTTTATTTATTTTTTATTGGAGTTAGGATTTTGGTTTCGATCCCTTAGAGAGTTAAACATTTAAAAATTGCAAGCTAGATGTCACAATGAGAGGGCTCTTAGGTAGGAAGGGTTTGGATTTCAGCAATGGAATCTGCAAATCAAATTATGAAAAATATGTTGGATATGTATTTATTGATGGTAACTGACTCAAGTACCCTTCATAATATAGTAAACAATTAGAAAGAAGTAATACAGATACACTGCTAATTTAGATAACCTCATGCATTGCAATGCTAGGTACACCTAATGTAGAAACGTATTGTGATCGGCATCATTTTCTGTGATTTATGTAAGGCCAAAGCGTTTCGTGTTGTGATACTATTTGGGTATTCCGAATCAGCCATTTAGGAATGGATTGATTTTAGGGTCATTTCGAAAATAATCGTGTACAGTACATAGAAGTTAAAGTTTGCCTGAGATTTTGTATCAAGAATCAAATTCAAGAAGAATATAAGAACACATGGAATAGCTTAGACTGCCGTCCAAATACACTGGCTAGATAAATAGTATGTAATTGGCCTTCTTTTATTGTCGTTGCAGATAGCCAAGCACTCAGTTCACTAGTTGAAAGCTGTGTATATGTTACAGTTTTATAGCAATCTCTAGAAGTATGCGAAGTCTTGAGAACCATTACTCAAAGGTGCTATCAAATCATGCTAACATTTTGGGACTTGCGTTATGGATCGAAATCCCTCTCACAGCAAATTATTAATTATCGTCATATTAAAATTTGATGGATAAATGATGTGTGATCATATGAAAACCACCAGTGGACACATCAGACACTGATAATACAGACGTCATAATTTCAAAATGATAAGAAAGCCGCCCTGTCCATGCACCGTGGTTGGAACATTTGGTTTTGCAAAATAAAAACAGAAGATTATAATAAGATTACTAAAAATAGGCCGTGAATTTTGCCAGGGTAGATACGAAAGAAAATGGGGAGCACATAATGATCAAAGTCGTTTGTTATATTAATAGTTTCATTTATGATTTACAGGGTAGCCACTAAAGACTCAAAATCTTAGCATCCTATGATATCTGCCTGAATAAGCCACACATGAAACGTGAATCATATAATGCCTTAGTTTCTTTTCCGAGACTTTTGTAGATACTTAGGCCCACCAGTAGTTTTCTTTGGTGTTTCATAAAGAAAGAGGATATAAAAGCTTGATGATCTAGATTTGACATTTGAAATTGCCTTATTATATACCAACAGACACTCCAGGATGTGAAATGACTAGGGTGAATATCCTACAATCCATCGGATGGCACACAGCTGGCATCATCTCTTGTTCTCGAAATGCTACGTAATCAAAGGATTTAGGTTAGAATTCTCATGGTAAGAAAATGCCTCAGATTTTACACTGATTTTTATCTGAGGAGATATAAACCAGACCGCAGATTTCATTTCTTATGCCTGCATTGAACAAGACTTTTATTTTCACGTTTATTAGTTCAGACATTGAAATTAATGGTGTGATTACGTGAAGGGCAGCTTCATCAATTTCAGATGTGTTTTCGTAAAGCTTCAGTGTCCTTGAACAAGAAAACAATTGTTTACAATTGTTCAAAGTACAGAATCAGCGTCATCAGGCAGAATTTATATACCATAATGATTATTGATTTTAGAAATGCGGATACACAGAATAACATGACTAGAACAATTTTCTCAAAATTATGCAGAATTAAAACCAGTCTCACAAAATACGTTCAGGCAAATACAACAAAATTATGAATAAGGACGGGAATATTTATTCGATTTAGAGCAGGGGTTCTCAAAGTGATCGATATCGACCCCCAGGAGGTCGATAGCCAGGGAGTCGGTGAATGTTTACTGGAGGTCGAAGGGGACCATTCACGCCTCCAATTTTATTTTTTATGATGATTTATAAACATCAAGAAAAACAGACACCGTCAGAATTAAAAAAGATATGAATTGATTCTCTAAATTTAGACAAGAAGTCAAAATTTCCGCTTTGGCAACACTACCTTCAGCCAAACCTCCCCGCCTCACCGCCTCTCGCAGCTCTCCTGTCCGTACAAAATATCTCCTCTG